TGACCATTGTATGTAATGTCTAAAATCAGTAGGAAGCTTTTAAAAAAAAGATTATTTTTGATTAATACATGATAAATGGCTTTGGTTAACTTTGATGGGTTAATTTGAATTGGTATTTTAAATGTGAGTCGAAACCGGGCATGATTCAACTTAGTTATCAGTTGAACAAATAGGAAAATTTCGGCCTGGGAATTTTATCATTTTTATATAACACTAAATTAATTTTTTTCCCAAAGAGCTACATTTAATATTTATTTTGGGAAACATAATACTATATAAAATAAATAAATAAATGAATTATGTTCAGTGGTATTACCAATCATAAATGTAGCATAATAGATACAGTATTTACTCATTATATTTAACAATTAATATTTTTAGAAATTCCGATCATTTATTTTATAATAACTAATATCGAGATTCTGTTTCTTTTCTTAAATTTGTTTCTTCTATATTTTCCTTTTATTTTCTCTTTTTTTGTAAATTTTCGCGATATTTTCGTTTTCCTTTCTTATTTTTTTCCTTCATATTTTCTATCCATTTTCTTGTGTCAGGCTGTTTTTTCCTTTTCATAATTTACATCCATCATTGCTCATTAATCATTCTTATTGTTATTCTTTCTCCTTTTACCTCTCTCCATTCTCATATTTTCCCACTTTCTCCCTTTCTCCATTTCTCCTTTATCTTTTTTTCATTCCCTATGTTTTTCCTTTCTCCCTTTCTCCCTTTCTCCATTTCTTCTTTATCTTTTTTTCTTCTCCCTTCTCCCTATATTTCTCCATTCTCCATTTCTTATATATCTTTTCTCTCATCTTTCTTTCTCCTTTTCTTTTTTCTCCTCTAGCATTCTATCCTTTTAGTTTAATCCTTTCCCCTAGAATTTTATTTTTGCATGACCTAAACACGGAAGTAAACCTCCCATTCCACCCCTTGACCGGATGTAGATCTCATGTCATGAGTTGCATAGTGGAGGGTAGGATGGAGGAGGAAGGGGGGGGGGAATTGATTCCTGTTTTAGGAGTAAAGGGGGATTATAATTATCGAATAGTGGATTGAAGCAGGTTGGGACCGAATATATACATGATTATTGATCAGGGTTGGGACCACCCCTTATAAAAGAGTAAAAGTTGCATATGGATAGATAGATAGATAGATAGATAGATAGATAGATAGATAGATAGATATTAGATAGATAGATAGATAGATAGATAGATAGATAGATAGATAGATAGATAGATAGATAGATAGATAGATAGATAGATAGATAGATGACTAGCTGGATCGTGATGAAAAACTGTTAAATTTGCTTTACACTGTAACAGGTGGATTTCCTTTTGTTAAATATAAACATAGTTCTCTTGTAAACTGGAATACAAAAAATAAAACTGAAAATTGTTATAAAGCCTCAAAATCGTTCTGGTAAACCTGTATCAACTATCTTACCTCTGATTTTAACATAATATTTTATATAATAATAAAAATTATCTTGAAGTTGATATTTAATATATTTAATCATAAATATGATTTCCTCAAAACTAAATCTAACTTTTTATTCAATCATTCATCTATTCATCCTTATATTCGAACCTACCCTATAGTATAACGTTGTAATTAGATATAATTTTCACAAGTCGATTCCTTACATCTGCTTTTCTTTGATTGAAATGATAACAGTAGAACAATAATTAACAGATTTATTTGGAAACCTTCCGAATTTTTTCTGACTTTTCCAACAAAATTTAAACGTCGGAAGGAAATTTTTCAGATTTAAATAAGTATGAATAGATAGTAAGAAAGTTAGTACTAGGACGGAAAACAAATTTGAACCGAAATATTTAGATTTATGTGTTTGTTTGTTTGTCCTCTTGGTCCGTTTGTGTCTCATGTTTTTGCAAAGATAGTGCCCTAACCCGACCCCAGCTTGAAAGATAAGAAGATTCTAATTTTATAAATAATAAACATTGAATGTCTTGTGAATCTATCAATATTAAGAGAACGTAATAATTTTCTTATAAAAGTATTTAATTGCGTTTTATTTACTCACCGCTTTCTTACTTACTAATATTTCCTTTCTTATTATTACTTCCTGCTCTAGTTGAGCACTAGCACTCTGGTTTACATATTATATTGTTTATTAAATATATTATTCTACACGCAAACAAACTATTAAACAAATTATCAAATTGTAATCAAAGAGGTTAACTCAGGAACAAAAATGGGGTAAAAGTTAAAAGTATTTTTCTTCAAAATTTTGATTTATATATTTTCGAAAAAAATCAATAACATTTAAAAAAAAAAAATATAATTTTTTTATTATTTTTAGACCCGGCAGTTGTGAGTGCAGATACATTAACCTGTGGAGAATGCAGGAAAAATTTTAAACTTCAGGTAACTTTACTAAATATATTTTATCATTATTTGTTTTAATATCATCATTAAAATATTGTAATTTAGTAGCTAAAAGCATTGTTGTAATAATAATTAAATATTCTAGGATTTAGCAGTTTTTATTCAGCACAAGGCCCTGAACTCGTGTAAGTATGAGAAGACTGACGAACAGGATGAAAATGACGCAAAATCTGAACCTTACGCAGCTCTGGGTAGTCCTAGTATCACGGGGTCAGGTCAGGTCGAGGAGGAATGCAGCGAACGGTCAGAGGACGCCAAGCGTCATTTGTTTTCTGACGCAGAAACCAACACTGTTTCATCTTCAGGTTTGTCAAAGTTTTTGGAGCGACATTAACTGTTTCACTTCTGCTTCCTGAGCCCTAAATTAGAAAACTTCTGCTCATCATATTTTGTATTTCAGCCGCTCATGCAGCCCCTATATTTTTGTTCCCCTTGCCATAAAATTATTTTCTCTTTGCCCAACATTTCTGTCCTTTATTTCAGCTCCCTTGGCCGTTATTTCGTCTCACTGGCCCTTTATTTCGGCTCCCTTGCTCTTTATTTCGGCTCCCTTAGCTCTTTATTTCAGCTCCCTTGGCCCTTTATTTCAGCTCCCTTGGCCCTTTATTTCAGCTCCCTTGGCCGTTATTTCGTCTCCCTTGGCCATTTATTTCGGCTCCATTGGCTCTTTATTTAGGCTTCCTTGGCTCTTTATTTCGGCTCCCTGAGCCATTTATTTCTTTATTATCAGCTTCTTTTCTGCCCCCTCAGCCCTAAATATTTACTCCCTCAGCTCTATTTTTCTGCTTCCCTGCCCTTATATTTCTGCTCCCCTGCCCTCATATTTCTGCTCCCCTGCCCTCATTTTTCTGCTTCCCTGCCCTTATATTTCTGCTCCCCTGCCCCCATATTTCTGCTCCCCTGCCCTCATTTTTCTGCTTCCCTGCCCTTATATTTCTGCTCCCCTGCCCCCATTTTTGTGTTCCTCCCACGCCCCCGACCAAACATAATTATTGAATCCAAATATTTAAATCTAACCCAAATTGTGAACCCGGTTACGCTGGTTCTCACAACTATAAACCTAAACTATTTTAACCTGATGTAGATTTATTCTCTTTAAATATTTACAGCCAGAACATGGGGAAGCTAGAGAAATATCATGCTCCAGTATTTTCATCTCAGTTTCAATTTTCAATCAAGAATTTTTTGTCCAATTAACCCAACTACCCCAACTACTCTTCATAAAAATTGAAATACCTTCTCTCTTATTCTATTTGTTATTTACCGTGAATGGTTTGAGAACTAATTTCTATATTTTTTGCTGGTAAACTGTCCGCCCAGCTCGTGCTCTTCAGAAATGAGTGTATAGACACAAAACAGGAATTGGAATTATAAAAGCTGGGCAGTTCAGTTCAGTTTTAAGGGTTCGGTCCTTATTCCAGAGAACTATGACTTTCGATCACAATTTGAAAATTAAACTTAATTTTTTCGCCTTTTTCTATTTTGTACTTTTTGTCGGCAAATGCGAAAAAGTATTAAAGGACAACTTCGTAAGTTTAAATATTGTTGAATTATATTCCAACACGTGATTGAATTCAAATAGAAGAAACCGAATGCATCTCGCCCTGGGTTAGTCCGGTGTGAGTTACAGGGTGTCTAAATAAACGTGACAGTGAGATGCAACTGAAAGGTCGTCTTTGAGCCTTGATAGCTGGGACAATGTTTATAAAAAACGCTTGCGCGACTTAAAAGCACATCGATTCAGGACTTTTAAGACTGGATCGATATTTAAGTGCTTAAATGCCTTTACCCTACTAAATCACAAATACTTTTTGTTGACTTAGGCATGAACATTTCAAAATCTACAACAAGCTTGTTTATAGGTTCAGGTTAAAAGAAGTATTTGGCAAAATGCTGATTTGCGCCCACAATCCTGATCACTGTTAAGAATGGTCACCACTTTATGGAAAACTTCTAAATCGTCGGAATATTTGTATTCAAATTAGGTTATTAATAATTCATGTAATCAATTTAAAATCTAAGAAGGTCATCAAGTTGTCTCTCAACTATCATGTTTAGTGGAACACACTGTATAGAAAACAAGATGGATGACGCGTGTATAAAATTAATCCCGGTGTATTTTTCTATTTTTCTAAAATCACCCTTTACAATCCCCCCTTGAACTATTCTCCTAGTTAGGGCAGCTTATCAAATAGGAAACCTGATACACCCATTTATATAGATCCTTCTATACAGCTTTATAAATATAATATATATAAATTATATTTCTGTTTTCAACTCTTATGATTTTATTTTACTAATAAATAATCAAAATATGATTTTATTAAGTAAACAAAAAGTTTAATAATCAGATAGAAAAATAAATAGAAAATAGATAAATGGATAGAAATAGATAAATAGATGGATAGATTATTCATATCCAATATTCATGTTGGTAAATATATTTGTAGATAGATAGATAAAACTGAAAGAAACTTGATATATAAATCGAGTTCTTTGTTTAAAAAGTATGTATCCTGCAATTCAATTGTTTATATTATATATCTATTTCTCCACCATTCTATTCATCTATTCTTTTAATTGTTTATTTAAAAGGAAACCTTTTAATTTAAACCCCCTTCTTTCTTCCCCTGGGCCCTTTGCCCTCCCTATGCTGAACCCTACTGGGGTATGAAATTGTTAAAGAAATTGCATCCTTCAACCCCCCTCCCCCTCCCCTTGTAAGGGGGTAAACATGATTTGTTTACGGCCGGAACAATTTTTAACCTTGAGTCTCGAAGGAGTGAGGTTTGCAAGGAATGCGACTAAAACGAATGGAAAATTCTCATAATATTTTTATTTTCTTGCTTTTAATAAGAAACAATAAAACCTGTATAAGTCCGCAGACCGACAAAGAAAAGCAATATTTTTATTCTAGAATAATATTTCTATTTTAAAGCATTAGTTCGAATCCCGGAGGGGGAGGATGCATACAAATTGCAAATACCTGGACATGTAAAAGCATATTTACCTGAAAAAAGACAAACTTAGATACAGGGTTACAACGAAAGATGAGACTTTAATGACCATCTCAACTATAATAATCTGAAGATTGAGCTTGGTTTTCTCCCTTTAATTTAACTTATTACTTGGTTAATTGAAAAGTTTGACGAAGAAAGAAACATGGTAACATCTGCAGGGAAAGTTAAATGTGTAAATAAAAACTGAATAAATTCCGTACGGTCGTCTCTGAAGTCTCTCTGTATCTTCCAAGTCGTACGATATAATTCTCATAATTGTATTTGTTTAGAACCTCGAGACTACACCTGCTCCTTCTGTCGTAGTAGCTCGGAGTCAGCCTGGGGTCTTGTACAGCATGTGCAGAGTGTACATGGAGTACAAATATATTCAGAGTCGGGGTTAAACAGTACAAAACTAGAAATCAAAGACGAGTTTGCTCTGCACAAAAAGTTATCCTACCCTGCCTGCTTCCCTCCTAACTCTGGAAATGGGATTCAAAATTTTCCATCTTTTTATCCTTCCCTCTCTCCTCATCTTCTCAGGAAACCATATGAAAGCTCACTTTTCCAACATATGCTTCCACCAAACCTTCATCCCTTGGTTAACCCATATCTAGGCCTGTCCTATCCTTTCCTAAACATCAACAAACCAAACATGAATACATCAACACAAAAAGGTAACGATTTAGTTATTTAAAAGTTTAATTTGAGTTCAAAATGCATGATCGTGATAATAGATGTAATAATTAATATAATAATTAATCTTCATGAAATTAATGATTGAAAGAATTAAAATATTAAACGGATTAAAAATGTAGGAGGATCTGATCCGAAGTTTGGAGGATACCTGAGTAGTCCACCCTCCTCCCATCCTCTCTACCAACCTCATTATCCTGCAACCCCAACCCCCTCTTCTCCAATTCCAACAGGAGATATAAGATCAAGTAAACCACTGGAGAAGAGCTTAAACCCATCTCCTGGAGTAAAAACCTCTGTATCTCAAACGTCTCCTTCCTCCGGATCCTTCTCCTCCAACTCAACCAACCTCTCCCTCTGCCTACCCTCGGACCCGGAGAAACCGGATTCTGGATCGGACGGAGGAAAGGAGGGAAGACCTTCATCAACAGGTTAAATATACATTCTCATTATTAATTATTTTGATAATTTATTTGTTTGAAAATATCTCTGATTTGAGGAATAGAAAAATCAACTTTAAAGCTTTCATTTCTATGTGATTTGTTTTCTTGTAATCATTAAATAATTAAAAAAAGATCATTTTTCTGAATTCAAGTCTCCAGAAGGGCTTGTTACATTTGCCAGGATATTTTTGCCATAGATACTTTCTGCCATAAGTAACACTTGCCATAATTACTTTTGCCATAATTCTCTATCTCTTACAAAGATATAAATCTAACTATTTTTTCAATAAATGCGCTAAATCTTGAAAATTTCCAACTTTAGTTTTCTAAAAATGCTGCCGGGAATCTCTAATACTGGAAGAAAGAGCTTGTCAAAGACAATACAATACTTTTCCAATAGAGCAGTAACTTAACCTTATTGCTCATGAGCTGCCCTCATTTAGATTTGTTAATTGTAGTCACAAAAATTATCATTGTAGTTGTTCAATAAAAAAAATGTATGGATGTTGATTATGGCAAATGTTACTTGTCAAGTGTAATGATAACAAATGTATAAGCACCATATGAAGAAATTCACATTTTGTTTAAGACACTGTGTTTAATTGTATCCTTGTTCAGGTGCTATTTCATCTGGAAGTGTTGATGAAGATCTAATTGAGACGGATGATCAGATGGATATAACAGATGAAGGTGATGATGTGGAAGAGGCTGAAGATCTCTCTATTAAACCCTGCCAGGAGCCTGGAAGCCCCACCAGCCAGGGGGAGAATGTGAGCAGTAGTCCGAGCAGTATGCTGGGTCTTCTAATTAATAAGTTCGGATTCAGTAACATTCAGGTTAGATTAGATTAATTTATGAATTCTTAATTTATTGAAGCAATTTCCCGCGTATTTGATCAATTGTTAAGAATGGAATGAACGTACAATTAATGTAATTGTTAACCCTTTAATCGCGAATTAATCCTAACCGGAGATATATTTTTTATCTAAAATTTGAAAACCTGTGGGCGCGACTTTTATGAAGCAACATAAGAATATCTGCACTTTACAGGACAAATTTTCAATTGTTGTCAATCATTCATGGCACTTATTAGAATAAATGGTCCCTTGCAATAATGTTTACAACCTTTTTATCAGCCTTAATTATTTATTTTATTATCTTATTATTTCAGGAATACCAAGAAGCGTACAGAAAAGCAGTAATGGAATCTGGAAATGAAAACAGGTATTAAATAGAATGTTTACCCTTCAAAGAATCAACATTGTTAGTGGTATTTTTATTTTTTTTAACCAATAAAATTTCAACAGAAAAGGTTAAAAACAAAATTTGTAATCTGTTCTTGAAGAGCTCATCCAGTTTCACTTCTGGAGGTTGAATTTAGGTTGTCAGACATAGCCACCCCTTTCCTTGAATCATTTATAATTTATCTTAAATCTCCGGAAAACTTAAACCCTTCAATTTAAAAGTTAAAAGTCGATGTGACTAAGCGGTATACCAACCAAAAGTTTTAGCCTCATGTTTTAATAAATACTTGTATTAGGTTTAAAGATCACTGGAAAGAAAACAACAATATATCTGGTCCAGACTCTCCGTATGCCCGGGAGCAGGAGAACCTGTTTGCTGGTCTCTGGGTTCCTGGAACTCCATCTACTCCTCCACAAGTAGGACGGGGGAGAGGGAGAGGAGGACGTAGATCCTCCCTGAAGGATATTACTCTACCTCCTCTACCTCCAGGTGTACAACTCCCCCTGATGGAACCTAGTGCTATTAAAGCTCTGGCTCAGAAAGGTCGACTAGACGCAATTTTTGACCCTACGGCTAGGAAAGAGATCATTTCTCGAGGTAGAAACGATACATGCGAGTACTGCGGAAAAGTATTTAAGAATTGTTCTAATCTGACAGTACACAGAAGATCCCACACTGGAGAGAAACCATATAAATGTGAACTATGTCCCTACAGCTGTGCACAAAGCAGTAAACTAACAAGACACATGAAAACCCACGGAAAAATGGGAAACAATGCGTTCAAATGTCGCTTTTGCGATATGCCGTTCAGTGTAGCCAGCACCTTGGAGAAACACATGCGGAAGTGCATTGTCCACCAGAAGCAGTCTAGTGCCTTAAATTTAGCAAAAGATTCATCTTAGACTTTTAATATTTAGATCATTTAAACTTTATACAGTTTTCTTTCTAACACAGTCTCTCTACAAATCTAGTTTTAACCCAATTGTCCCAAAAAATAGTGTGATAAATATGTAACAAAAATTGACCCAGCATTTTTGACAAATTTTATGGATTAAGAAGAGTAGGTAAATATTTGAACCTGGTAAACCATCCTAGTCCTAAACAATATACATATATCTAACCCTAATATTAACCTTACTCATCAACTTCTTGCATTTAAACATTATTTACCCAAACACATTTTGTAAAAGCAAATTGAGATTTTTTAAACAGCATTTCTGAAACTTGTTGCATTTTGTATTCAATGTATATATATTTTAATCTGCTCTTATATGTAAACACAGTAAATCTCTGTCCCCTAGTCCTTTGTCCTTTATTCTATCTAATTTATTTTAAACTTCTGTTTTCATCATGATGACTCACTTATCTTGAATTGATTTGATAAGATAAAACAAATACACGACTTATTTTTTTCAAAATATACTTAATAACTTTTTATACTAACATGCAAAAAAAACAGCCTTCTACTTAATGGATATAATTGGTGATAAATATTTCATTTCCCATGACTTTCCAAATACTTCTTTCTTGTCTTGTATGAATTACACAATAACTATTTATAACTCTGTTATTTTGGTTCGCAGTGTTATAAAGTTTTTGGACAGAAATTTTCTCTTTATCGAGAAAGTATAAGCCTTTTTGGATTTAATAGCACGTCGTGCCAAAATAATAGTGTCATAGGTAATTTCATGAAACGTTTGTGTACGTGTCTTATTTCAATGACTGTTTCTAGATCAAATAAGCTTTGAAACAAAGCAGAAGTCAAAATATAAAGTTTATTTCAATTTTATTTTTATTTCAATTGAAAAAAAATATTTTGGAAATATTCTTAATTTTTTGGAGAAAATCCGGGAACTAATCAAAACTTTAAAGCACACCACACGTACTATAATGTACAGCTAATTTAACATTTTAGCACATTCATTATGAAATTCACGATGAAGTGAGTAATAATGATAAAGTACACTATAGTTTCATAAAACAACTAAACTTTTTGTGCTAAACGTTCAACAATGATCTCGTTTTATTTGAAGAACATTTAGCATTGAAAGGGCGATTGTTATCTTTACTATTAAAACGTTGTCATTAACAATTTATTTTTATCCAGCTCCAAGGAATTGAGTCTTTGTAACAAACTCGATTTTTTAATACTTATATCTGTATAACCTAATAGTGTAAACCTTTGATATTTTAAACTTTGATTATTTGATCTAACAGAGTTAATCCATGGTTTGAAATGTCTATGGTTTTCGACATTGGGTTGCTTAGATATAAGGACAAGAAATTGAGAGTTTGTGACAAAGACTCAATTACTTTATTTTTTCCCTTCAAAATGTAAGACAAACTTTTTTCTTTTCGCATTTTTATTTATGTTTCCCCTCCTATTATAGTTCCCCTATGATTTGGCTGTGTAAAGATTCACCAAAGAAAGTAAATAAACTATTTAATATTATTTGTATTTGGTTTTTATTTCAATATCTACTGTTTATTATATCTTTACCCATAGACAGTGAAATAGACAAGACTGGACAAAAATGGGGTACACTTCATAATGTATGTTAAAGATAGATATTTTTTTACAGTGTACATATATCATGGCCGGTCATAACTCATAAACCGATTTGCCTCAAATTTAGATTGGGTAACTAGGTAGAACCACAAGAATATTCTTGGCTTAAAAATAACTTTAAAAGAGAAAGTTTTGTTCACAGGCAAAACGCTAGTTTGTTGATATAATACAGGATATCATGCATTGCTCGACTTTTAAGATTTTGAAAATCTGCGTATTATCTCTGATAACAAGAGGTTTGTATCGAGACAAGAATAGTGTACCAATTCTGCATTAAACCTTCTTTCAGATCAAATAGTTTAAGTTTGAAATATTAAGGTTAACAGTAACAGGTTTAGAAAATTAGAAAATTTGACTTTGTGGCAAAAACTCAATTCTTTTGGCGTGAAAAAATAATTTTTGAACATTTTTTGTTGATCGGGGTACAATGAAATATCAGCGGTTTAAAATTAACAGTTAAACGCTAACATTTTTACAAGAAAAGTACATTAAAAACTGAAGAAGTTTCATTTATATAGCAGATAAGATATACTGGATTTCCTANTCCTTTAACAGATAAAATTTACTTAAATCCTAGGTTTATTCTTTAACAGATAAAATATACTTAAATCCTAGGTTTTTCCTTTAACAGATATAATATACTTAAATCCTAGGTTTACCCTTTAACAGATAAAAGAACCAAGATCGATTCTTCTCATCATGAAATCTAAAAAACAGAAAGTAGATGAATACAAATAGATAGATAGATAGATAGATATGGATAGATAGATAAATAGATAGATTTGAAAGCTGCTGTACGACCAACCCGAATGATTAAATTTTAATTTGAAAACAGGTGCACTACACTACACTATACATAACATTTTAGAGATGTAATTGATTTAAATCTTAAAAGAGTTTTTATAAAAATCTTATTTATTGATAACTAGGCTTTATTAATGTAAAACTTCAAATTGGACTTAATTTCTGGTTCAAAATCGGCTAAGTTATCAAAAATCCTTTTTTTACAGGAAAATACATCAGCCTTGTAATCTTTCTAATACCATATATATAAATTAGCAGTCGTGCAATAAAACAAACAAAACAAACAATGTTTGACAACCCTACACTATTAATCCTTATAATGTTCAGCGAAACTTTATATAACACAAACTGTTTTCTTAAACTTTATACAGTACTAGCTTGGAACCTAAGCGTTGCCTAGATATCTAAATTTTCCTTGTAAAACTTACTTAACTAGCTCAGAATGCTTTAACCAATATAAGACTATTCTGTGATCCCAATTTGACTTCTTTAACATAATTTTTTAAACTTTTCTCTTTAATGCTTATTTGTCAGTGGATGAATTTCAAATGAAAAAGTAAGCGTAGTGTTAGGTTGTAGACATAGAGAATAGAATATATAGAGAGGAATTAAAAGAATCTCTCGGTATGGATTTTTTCAGTCCCTTTCAGCCTGAAAGGGAGTTCAAAGTGTACAAATCATGTAAATGTTCACAAATTATATGCAGTAGAGTACATTAATACAGTATGTTCCCTAGACTATCCATTTCAATTTCGAATTTTTTAAACTGTTAAATAAACTTTATAATGAATTAGGTGAATAAAAACATCATTTGATTTATAGTTATAACGGAAAATCATCGTTTGTAAAGTGGAAGGCATAGAGTCTATGTGAAATGATCATTGGTCAATTATGAAACCAGCCTATTTCATAATTTGGTTTTCTTTTAACAATAATTTTAGATTTTCTATAAAATGATATTCCAGGGCCCAAAAGGTTATGTAGCATAAATATGTGAAGTACACCTGCAGTATGGAAACAGTACAACAAAATGGCTGTTTTACACTTTTTTCTAATAAATTCCTCTCTATTTATTCTATTCTCTATGGTTGTAGACCAGAATGCGATAGAATTCAAATGGAAAAACCTGAACGCCTATTATTCCAAGGTGGTTTTCGTGGTTATACCTAGTTCACCGATCAAAATTTGAGGCTAATCCATCCAGGGTTCTGAAACTGTATAGTTCTGAAACTGTAAGTTCTGAAACTGTATAGTTCTGAAACTGTATAGTTCTGAAACTGTATAGTTATGAAACTGTATAGTTCTGTAAATGTATAGTTCTGAAACTGTATAGTTCTTAAACTGTATAGTTCTGAAACTGTATAATTCTGAAACTGTATAGTTCTGAAACTGAATAGTTATGAACCTGTATAGTTATGAACCTGTATAGTTCTGAAACTGTAGAGTTTTTAATTAGTATAGTTCTGAAACTATATAGTTCTAGAACTGAAATAGTTAAGTTCTCAAAATGTATAGTTTTGAAACTGGATAGTTTTGAAACTGTATATTTCTAAAACTTTAGAGTTCTGAAACTGTATAGTTCTGAAACTGTATGGTTCTTTAAATGTGTAGTTCTAAAACTGTGTAGTTCTTAAACTGCATAGTTCTGAACTGTATAGTTAGGAAACTTTAGAGTTCTGAAATTGTATAGTTCTGAAACTGTATAGTTTTGAAACTGTATAGTTCTGAACCTGTTTAGTTCTGAAACTGTATAGTTCTGAACCTGTATAGATCTTTAACTGTATAGTTCTGAAACTGTATAGTTCTGAAACTGTATAGTTCTGAAGTTGTATGGTTCTTAAAATGTGTAGTTCTAAAACTGTTTAGTTCTAAAACAGTGTAGTTCTTAAACTGTATAGTTCTGAACTGTATAGTTATGAAACTTTAGAGTTCTGAAATTGTATAGTTCTGAAACTGTATAGTTCTGAACCTGTATAGTTCTAAACCTGTATAGTTCTGAACCTGTGTAGTTCTGAACCTGTATAGTTCTGAAACTGTATAGTTCTGAACCTGTATAGTTCTGAAACTGTATAGTTCTGAACCTGTATAGTTCTGAAACTGTATAGTTCTGAAACTGTATAGTTCTGAAACTGTATAGTTCTGAAACTGAATAGTTATGAAACTGTATAGTTCTGTAAATATGTAGCTCTGAAAATGTACAGTTCTGAAACAGAATAGTTCTGATAATGAAAATTTAGATATTCAAAGAAAAGAGTGAATTGGTAGATAAGTAATGTGGCTAAAATTAGTTAAACAAATAATTGTTTTGAATTTTACACTGATAACCCCTGTTTACTGTAATGATACGCTAATATGCAAATTCTTTACTATTTATGTAAGTTTAGCTTGTGCCTGTAATTCAGGCATCAGGCCTGGTTTTTATGCATGAATTCAGGCCAATATGCCTGATGAATACATGATAAGATGTTAGATATAACCTCGAAAACAATCATAGAGGAGAATATTTCCTAACTCTTGACAAAAGAATTTTTATTTTATTTTGAAATAAATACTTGCCAACGGGTATTTTAATAATACATTTTATTTTGCCATAAATTTGTGAGAGAAAGCAATCTGATTGGATTTATTGATTTCATGTTTATAAATATTACATAATCATGTAGAACACACAAATAAATTCCTCAATTGGCTTCGATTTATGTCAAAACCTTCCCTTGTATCAGTTCATGCAACCGGTACACACTGCATAACCCGCCAATACCATGCAGGTTTGTATTCAAAACTTTTTATTTATTCTTTTTAATTTTATCAGCTCTTTAAGGGGATTGTTAAGGAAAAGTGAAAGCGGGTATAGGTTCAACATCAGCATTTCATGAGTTGATCGAGACCTATAAGAGCTCTATCTGGGTTCCTGTCTCGAGATATTGATATAAAACTTTGCCAAAATTATACAAGGTATATATAAAAGATTTGACATAAGATTCTAAGTTTAAAAAAGATCATATTCAGCAAATACGCAACCAATTTTTTCAAAAATCGTAATTTTTTTTTAATCGAATTTTTTTTCTTCATAAAACCAGATTTTTTTATTTGATTTTTAAAAATCCACTGGCAACGCCGGGCACCTTAGCTAGTCAATAAAATAATTGATACGTTCATATCACGAGACCAGAATACCCACTAATGGCAGTGCGATATCATTGTCACGTGTCTCCGTCTTTTTATTTTTCCTAAACAGTCCTTTTAATTCCCTTAATTCTTTAGTTTTGATTATAAAAAGCATAACTTTTTAAACTTTGATTGTCTAATCACTATATCTTTGCAACTAAATGTCAATATAG